GACACTGTCCAGCCATCTCATCCTCTGTCGTCCCCTTCTCCTCTTGCCGTCACACTTTCCTAACATCAGGGTCTTTTCCAGGGAGTCTTTTCTTCTCATGAGATGGCCAAAGTATTGGAGCCGCAGCCTCAGGATCTGTCCTTCCAGTGAGCACTCAGGGTTGATTTCCTTTAGAACTGATAGGTTTCTTCTCCTTGCAGTCCAGGGGATTCTCACTATGGGGAGACCGGGGAGACCGTAGTGATGGCAATTTTTAAACGCAAAGCAACACTCGGTGAAAAGGCAGGACAAGGGCAGGAGAAATCTGGAACGGGCCCAGCAAAAGCCTGAAGACTAGCCAGTTTCATTTTGGCTGATATTTCTCAGGACTTCAGGCAACCACGGGGCAAAACATAACCTTAAATTTCTTATATATATCTGTGCTTCATCCGAGCTGTCTTGGGTCCGATAATTGAGGGAAAGGCAGCACACATGCAACAAAACCCTTCAAATTGCAGGACACATGCAACAAAACCAAACTGTGTTTCTTCTCCCGTGCTTCTGTTTTAATCTTGAGGGGGGGGGAAGAAAACCAATCATTTGATGCCTGATGGCTTCCATCTCCAGACGCAGGTGCTCCTGATGCGCTTCAACAACGCAAGCCACTCAGGAACACAGACCCACTGTCGTTGCCTCCGTGACTATACACCCACAGGGCCACGCCACACACACGCGCTGTGCCCTGAAGCCGACGCAAAGCAGAATTCCTTGATTTGGGACAAAACAAGGCCAACCTGTTTCACTCTTAGATGCCTGGTCGCCGTAAGGCTCCTCCGTGGCTTCTCTGCCGCGCATGGCTCTCTGGCCTGGGTCCAGCAGCACCCACTCTTCCTCCTCCTCCTCCTCCTCCTCCTCCGAGGAACGAACCACCACCCCCTCAACGTCTTCCGGAGTCTGGAAGAAAAAACAAGATTCTGTGAAAAACAGGAGGATCCCGTACGGAAGGACGAGGTTCGCTGGCGGCTCTCCTGAAGATGCCAAGAAAAGATCACTCCCCTTCCGGAGGCTTCGTCTTCCCCTTACCTGATCCGACGGCCCAGAGGGTGTGTCAATTCCGCCAGAAAGAGAAGGCAGCCTCGAAGAAGCCCGTCCTGTTGCTCCGTCTCTGACTGGGGTTCCATTCCCTGAAAAAAAAATGCCATAGAAGGGGAACGGACTCTTCTTTGAAGCAATTAAGGCTCCTATCTCTTTGGGGAAAAAGAAGAGCAACAAAACACACAAGCTGTCGGTGAGTTTGCAAGACAAGGTCCAGGTTTTTATAAAGCTACCATCCACTGGAACAAAATATTTGGTCCCAGGGATGGAAAGGACACCAGCTGCATGAGAACCACCACCACCATTACCCCTTGCACCTGGTCCTTGGCCATCACCCCCCCCGGTCAAGAGAGGGTCACCTTCACAGCTTAGATCTGCCCCCCCCAGCTTTCACACATCTTCCTGCCAGCCAAACCGGAGACAACCCTCTTACCCTGGGAGGG